GAAGGATTGCAAGACCATTTCTTCTTTGTTTACATTCAGACACAACTACTTTAAATGATTGAATTTGGTGCTGCAACATGATCATAATCAAATAGCAACGTTTTAGGATAGTCAAATAGTCTTCATTTATTTAAACTTTTATAGTGTTATGAAGTACTGTGTAACCTTGTACCTTGTATTTCGACAGTGTGTGACACATGTACTGCAAATGTTTATTAACTCATTTGATATTTCTCAAATGTCATTTTCCTTAAGAATAAATTCTAAGTTTTCAAGCAATATCCTTTTCTGTTTGTTTTCATTCAAAGCATTTTTGACTGGTATCATTATTTTATGTGTTTATGTGGTCAACCTGCTGATATTTGATAAATAATCATATAAATGACGGTAGAACAGAAAACTTTGCTTTTGTCCTGACAGTCCAAAAACCAAATCAGTGTTCAATGATGTACAACAGATAAAAGCAGCAACAATTTACCTAAAATTATCAAATAGTTTGCTTTTGCGGAATTATTTTATATTGGTCAGCTAATTCCTTAAAGAACAATTGCGGCTGGTTTACAAAGCTGTGGTCCAACGAAAACAATCCATCGATCTTTTTTTCCAAAGGACAATTCCAGCCCATCCAGAAAGCTATTGGTTTCAATTTATTTCATTACTTGATGAAAAATTCAATTTGCTGGATATAATTCATGCTTAACAGTTAATCCTGTCAATGAACTAGTAAACACTTTTCAAAACTATTTTAAAGTAAAGTAACTTTTTCAGGTGGGGTATGGGCATTGATCATGGCATTGATACATGATACACCATGGCATTCTAGATATGTGTTTTCTTAAAAATGTGGCCAAGATTTTGATCAGCAGGCAAATATGGGCATCCAGAAAAGATAATTGGGGTTAGAAATTGAACTTCTACTGAAACATTTCCTGTGTATCTTTTGGACCTATAGGATAACAAACAATCGAAATTGAAGACAGTGGAGGCCCAATGATTGAGCCCTGTTGAACACCACATGACAAAGGACAAGGGATAACTGATATACAGCATGAGTGTCACATGTATAAACACATCTATTGTGTCATATAAAAATACAAATATCATTGAACACAACATTTACAAAATAAATATAGTATGTATCTCGTTCATTGCATAGGCTACAGTACATCATAATTACTTTTCATACAATTTGACATAGTGGTTAGACAATTCCCCACAGTGAAATGTAACTGTCTCAGAAAAATAAACATCATACATGGAAATAGTTTCCTAATCCTCACTCCCCTTGGGACAAAATCCTGTCACAACATGACTCAACATGTATCTCTTCAAAGCGTTTAACATATACAGGCGCCATCCTCTCACGCTATGACTGTCTCTTCTTCACAAGTTTTGTTTCCTGGAGCATTCACCACATAAATTCATAACTTCCATCAACCACAGCAGAGGAGATGTTGAAAGCAGGTTTAAAAGCTTTAATTTGACTTGTCAACTTCAGCATGATGGCCCTTGTACTACACAGTATTTACGTTAAGTTAAAGTAAAGTAAGTAAAATGCAAACATTCAAGACACACAGTGAGGATGTAATAAAAGATCATAAATGATGCAGTTCTGGGAAGATAAAGCAGCAATGACAGGCAACATGGAATCAGAACAGGTATGGCTTTATTTCTGAACAGTCTTGCAATCATTTGTCCACAAATATATATGAAACACACACACACACACACACACACACACACACACACACACACACACACACACACACACACACACACACACACACACACACACACACACACACACACACACACACACACACACACACACACACACACACACACCACACACACACACACACACACACACACACACACACACACACAGTATCTCCTGCTGAGTCAGCTTAAAACACAGCTCAGATCAGCAGATTTGTTCATTTGTTTGAGTTATATTCAGATTGAACTTTCAGCAACTGATATTTTTTGGGGGGGATAATTCACTTGTAACGCTGACTTACAGTTTTCCCCGATTGCACACACTTTTTTTTTTTAATTGCTCAGTTTCTCAGAACATTTAACACAATTCACAAAACCACACACCCAAAGTGCAAAACACCTAATTTCTCCTGCTAAGTGAAAAACTGCACTCAAAACTACATAAACAACTTTTGCACCAAACATAACACACTTCATTCATAATACTAGATTGTTTGACCACCCAGCTACACACTGCTGAGCATAATCTAAAGCACTTCCATCTGTTATGGGCTATGCTCTGTACATAGAGGTTTCTGCAGAGAAAGATTGCTTGAGTTTACAGAAATACAGTAAAAGAAGAAATACAAATGAGTTGTTGAAAAAAATCACATTGTATTCAAAAATAACACTGTGCAACATCCTGCATCTCAGCACATAGTTATATGCTTCGGATCTCTCTACTGTAAGTATGATGGCATTGTTTGCCAAAACCCAGTTTGTAACTGCTGCTTCCTGTGACTCATTAAAAATCCTTAGCCTTCCATCTGCACCTCTTTGTTTCTCAGTCCTTCAGATAAACAACAAAGATATAGTGGTTGGTCAGTGTCTGTGTTGCATAAAAGTAAGTTTACCACAGTACATTGTGCAGGATTTTTGTACACTTATAGTATACAACATGCCAACAATTCAATTACAGTAATGAAGTAAATACGTTTCACACAACAGATATAAGTACTGATATATCATGAATTATGCAGAGCTGAAAACTGGAAACTAACCTGTTTTCAAGTCTAAGTGTCCGGATTACAGAGGCAACAGTAAATCGGCTTAGATTAGGCTGAACCCTCTGCAGCCTCTCTCATCGTCACACCATGGTTGATAACATTTAATTTCATAGAGAGTATTCTTCTTTGTCCAACTGTGCAACTTAATGATGAAGTACAGTACTACTATTACCAACAACAATGTTGTTAAAGCATGCAGAGAGGAGGCTTTGTATTATTTTAGTTTTGTTATTTCTACTTTTCACCAAACATTACAAAATGTTTTTAAAACCATCACAAAACCTGATTTGAATTAGTTTCTAATATGGATTTGGTAAACAGGCTAGCTGTATACAGCCATATTATAAACTTTGTTGGGCTGTGTTAATACGTTAATACTCTGCTGGGCTTTGAAATAAATACTATTATCAGTCTTTCTACATGCTCAAATGTAATTGTTTACCATTTTAGTTTATTGTCTGAGCATGCAAATAATTACTTATAACTTAGAAATAAAACAAATGCGTGACTGACAGACAGTCATCCCTACTCCCCTATCAATGTTGCCAGTTTCAAAAAGTCAGCGATATGTGTTGCCGTTATCAGCCTACAGAGACAACAATTATACTGAACAAGCCACCAATTGGGTTTAGACCCACAAAGAAGGAAAAACATTACATAAACCCTTTCAGTAGGCTTGGTTAAAGACCAAAGTTTCTCTTTGGGCAAGAGGAGCCTTGTTCTTTGACCTTTAAATTAAACTGGCGTCTCCCCACAACATTTGTCAAAGTTGTAAACTTATTTCCTTTTTTATTGACACAGTTTTATCTTTCTTTTTTTACACTATTGGAGAAAACTTTTTTTAAGTGTACATTTCTTATTGTTTAAACTCATATGATCAATATGATATGAAACTCTTTTCTGAAACTGCAACACATTTATCTAAATTTGCTAAATCTAGGCATTTGTGTTAGTAATTAATATTCATTATATTAACTTAATGTATCTTCTAACAGCCCAGTGTTTCAAGGTAACAAGTATAGGAACAATCTCCCTGTGCCAAGATAACAACAGTTAAATAACTAATGAGGAGGTTTTTTCGTTCGTCAGCTCAGCAGTTTGGATGCAAGAATGTCTAGGATATAGGTGTATGTCTTTCATTATCTGATTTGGAACCACAAAGAATAAACATAAGAAATCTGCACTGTCAAATTACTGTGATATACAACCACATCAGCTAAAACAAACACAAGGATCAGTGGAAAGTGAAACACCACAAAAGCACTTTCCACACACACACACACACACACACACACACACACACACACACACACACACACACACACACACACACACACACACACACACACACACACACACACACACACACACACACACACACACACACACACACACACACACACACACACACACACACACACAGCCAGCCTGCCTGCCAGCCAGACAGCCAGACAGCCAGACAGACAGGCAGGCAGACAGACAGGCAGGGCAGACACACACACTCACACCACAAGCTAAATTCCTGTTTCAAAATTGTGAAAAGCAAATACGTTTATCGTGATGCAATTAAGTGTACACAATATTTTACTTTTGTAGCTGTTTGAGTCTTTGTACCTAAAAGCTACAGGGGTTTTCACATTCAAAGGGTCAAAATAGGCATTTGGGAGGTTGTGAGATGATTCATTGGATATGAAAGAAGACCAATACAAGTTGTAATAAACACATCTGTATTCATTGTATAGCCAATCCTTCAATCTTGTCTTTTTTTGTGAAAGTTTACTGGGGGAAAAATCATAGACTTCTGAAACCTGACAAGGTATACAACTACACCACGTGGCAAAAACGTTTTGCTAATCTTATTATATTTTTTCAATGTAACATGTGTTACTATAATTGTGAGGTAAATTTAGATGAGTAATTCCCCTACTTCTTTTTTTAACTATGTTGAAATATTTCCAACTCAAACCAAGTGGTGTCTCTCAGTCATTATCATTTAATGCTTATGTCAGCTGTCTTTTTTTGTTTGGTTTTAGGCAATAAAGAGAGGGGGCATATGTGTTAAGCATACTTGCACAGCATGTAATTAACTAAAAGTGGGGCCTTAACCCTACATGCCTCTTTTTTTAAAAAAAGTGTTAGGAGATTTCTTCAAAGATATAGCTCAGTGTGTTTTACTGGATATGATTGGCTCTCACGGGACGTTCCAGTCTATAAATGGGATCCAAGTTAGCGATGAAGTATATTACTTTCCTTACCTGAGGAGACACATCTATAATTTCTCTCTGAACCAAGGAAAAAGGTGAGATAGACTTTTCATTACAACAATTTGATACAGTGTTAGAAACATAGTTCCAGTAATCTTACAGGACTTGAAGCCAATTACCTTTATGTTCATTTTAATTCAGAACTATTTGTTTCTCATTAAGCAAAATACAATTATTGTTCTATGTATCACGATGGGTCTGATTTATTTTTCAGAAACAACCATGATGAAGCTAGTGGTGTTCATGATGTGCCTGCTGGCCACTACCTTGGCTGCTCCTGTAAGTCTTTCCTAAACATAGCCTAAATGTGTAATTAAGTCTGACAATGGATACCTTTTTAAAATGTTAAACACTGCTTTGCTTTAGAGTAAATTATCATAGTCACTTCCTCTTTTCTCTTCTTTGATTTGCAGGTGGCAGAGAGTGAAAGCAATGAAGAAAAAGTAAGTAGTGTTGCTTTTCTGTGAGGATGTCTGTCTGCCATGGCATGGCATGTCCTACCATGTTTTAGTCATGTCATCAAATGTAGAGTAGGATAAGTGTCTGACGAGAGAGGATAATTTACTTAATAGCAGAGCATGTCTGGAGATGTCTGGTATTTTCTCAGCAGGTAGCAGCACATGCTAATGAGGCCCTGAGGTGGATGGAGATGTACAGGATGTACCAGCAGCAGGTAGTTGGGGTTCAATATAGTATTAACAAATACAAATAAAAAAGTAATATAAATCCTCATCAATTAAGATAGTTTGACATAAATCATTATCTATAATCATAAATCTTTATATTTTTTTCAGGGAGTAGTTGGAAACCCCTTCCTGCCTGCTGCTGATGCTCCTGTAAGTGTATATCTTGTAAGACTCTTACATGACTTTAGTTTTAGATTTAAATAAAAACTTAAAAAATAAATGCGACTCTGGCATTGTTACTGATTGCGACCTATTAATTAATTATTCCTTTGTTTAGGCTGATCCTCAGCTTCATAAATAATGGCAGCATCTGATCTGAAACACTTCATAGTACTCTTTTTTGAGTTAATAGTGTTTGTATTTATAGGTGGATGCCACACCCGCTGAAGTCGCACCTCCTGCTCCTGTTACTGCTGCAGACGCATCGGAGGAGGAGAACGAGGTGAGCAGACGTCTTTATACCACAATAAACTGAAATATTGTGAATTATTATTATTAGAAATGCACTACAAATGTAGACATCTGTGCTGGCATGAATAACACAACATGTCCTCCTGCTGAAGGGGCCAAACTAAACAAGCTCAGAAAAGTAAACAAGGATTAGCCTTGCATGAAAAAAAGAAACACCCACATAGGATTTACACTGAGGTGAGAAAAAAAGAGGATGGGTGCCACATGTGGAAATGGTCAAAACAGCCAAAGAGAGCATTATCAGAGTAATACAAAAGCAGAGACTGAATTTCAGTTTGGAGTTCTGCCTGAACAAAGACCCACTATTTGCCACTCATATATTCACAGCAGATATCTTCAATTTAACATAATTAGATTAACAAGAGTGTAACTAACTACCAGCATGCATAATTCCCAAACTCTCGAACTGAGGTTGAATCGAACGTAAAGCTGTCAGATATTCCCAGATAATTCAGCAAAAGCGACCAATAGGTGAATCTCTATCATTTGCACCACTGCAGTGTCCCCTTTCTTTGGAGAATCATATTGCTCTCAGTGAACACTTTAACAACACTAATTTCTGTCTTTATCTTCGGTACAGGATGAAGGTGCTGCACCCAAAGCTGCAGCAGCCGGTGGTGCCCCCCTGAACTCTGATGAAGAAGAGGAGGCCGAGGAGGCCGAGGAGGTGGAAGCAGCCGAGGCTGAGCCAGCTGTTGAAGTGGCACCAGAAGAGCCTGCAGCAGATCCTGAAGCAGCTGTGGAGCCAGCTGTGGTGGACGTCCCTGTAGATGCTGCCACGGTGGATGCTGCTGTTGTCGTTGATGTGGTTCCTGTTGATGTGGTTCCTGTTGATGTGGTTCCCGCTGAAGTTGCCCCTTCAGCCCCAGAGGTTGCTGTGGATGCGCCTGTCCCCGCTGCTGCTGATGTCCCCACTGCTGCTGATGTCTCCGCTGATGTCCCCACTGCTGCTGATGTCCCCGCTGATGTCCCCGCTGCTGCTGATGTCCCTGCTGCTGATGCCCCCCTAGCAGCTGAGACTGAAACAACTGGAGTGGCAGCAGATCCTGCTTTAGTGTAGTCATATTTCTTATAACCAGCCTAAGTGCTCTTCTGTTAGCAGTTAAAGCAATAGCTAGAAGCGGAAATGAGAAGTTAAAGCAGCGCTAAAGGATGACAAGCTGTGGCATATTGAATAGAGAAGAGGAGAGAGTGCTTTTTGTTCAGAATTGTTATCCTCTTCTTTTTGTCTTGAATCAAAATATTTTTTGTAATTCTGTTCTCAGTTTTTTACTGATGAGTCACGAGTGTTTGTATACGATACAAATACATGTCTTTGATAAACTCTGTGATGTACGTTTATGACTTTTCACAACAGACATTTTATAATAATAATAACTTTATTTGTATAGCACCTTTCATACAGGGGATTGCAGTTCAAAGTGCTTTGACTGTTCACAGTATAGGAACATGTGTTAGTAATGACATTAATGTTGGTTTTGTCCTATTTAAAAGTAAGCTACGGCAGTAGTTCAGCATAGACTTCACCAGGAATCTGAAGCTGAAGGAGCTGAATAGAACGCAGCAATCTAGAATGTTATTTTTTTACACTTCTGCTGACAGTGACATCTGTTAAAAGTTTGCTATAAAACCAACTATGTTTCTAATAAAAAGCCAACATTTCCATAAAAAATACAGTATCTCAATGTGGTCCATTAATTTGTTCTTTCTCCCCCCCCATTGCCACAAACACACACATCAAGAACATTATGTAATCATAACCTATAGTCGGATAATTATTAATTAAAATTAAACTTCCAGAAATGCTTTTTAATTTAATAAAGTAGCTGCGATCCATAATCCACATCAGCCTACAGGGAGTGCCAATGAACCGCAGGATGTCTATAGTCTGCAGCAGGGGAGGAGGATCTGTTGTTATGATGCTGCAGCACTGAACAACATTTAATATCACTCTCGTGATTGTTATCAATGTAAAAGGAACCTGATCGACCTGATCTGAAGTCAGTAATACCCGGCACAATCTAATCTAAGGATCAAAGCTAAGGGTGCTGACTGAGCAGGAGACGCTGTATTGTGTGTGTGTGTGTGTGTGTGTGTGTGTGTGTGTGTGTGTGTGTGTGTGTGTTTGCATGCGCAAGCAGATTAAATCCTTTCCACAAATGGTCAGGAAAATGATAGCCTGTCTCAGATTGTCTTTTAAAGGAGTCTTTAGATAACATGGTTATCAGTGTTTATTACCAACAGGTTAACTGAGGGTTGTCCACACTTCATTTAATCTCATCTCCCACTGGAGGGAAGTGTAAGGAAGAGTGACTTCGCCTCTCTCTTCTCAGCCTACTCTAATCCACAAATCCTTATCAGGGACACTGAGACTCTATGACACAGTTAGTTAAACTTAGTGCTTATAGGTGTCACTGGTCCAGCTACATATTGATACTATTTTAATCAGCATCTGATGATAAATAAAATAAAAGCGCTGCTGCTGTAAGTGGCCAGTTTCCAGGTCTTTCAAAAACTGCAAAAGGATATAAAGGAAATGGATGTTTCATTACATTAACAAAAAGGTAAGTTGATTAAAATTATAGAGATATTAGGTGACATCTTAAAGTGTTTAGGCAGACTGTGGTTTGGGACTGCAAATGCAAACAGGGACATTCACTTCACCTTTAATGATGTGTGGTTCTTTTAACACTGCTCACATTTAGCAGTATTTCATACCAAGGGATTACAACACACTGCATCAAATGTTGATTTGATTTGATTATTTTCTGTATTACCATTGAAAGACGGAAGAGTGTTTTTAGTAGTTTGATTGAATTCTTATTTCTGCTGCAACTGAAAACACATTGTTACAGCTAATGTCACATTTCCAAACTTCTAAATCTAACAGTGAATCAAATCTGGACATTTCTTCTGCAGATTGTTTCCATATCATTGGGTCTATAAATCAAGGTGATTTCCTCAAATGTCTTGTTTTGCCCAATGTTGTCACTTTAATATAGGTGAACAACAAAACCACAAAATATTTGCATTTCAGATGTTGGTAGCATGGATTGTTTTTAATTGACAATCCTTGCTTTAAAACTTTGATTAAAATCATCTAAATGTTTTCTGAATCTTTTTCAGTTAATAGAACATTCTAATAATGGACTAATAGTTCCAATTGTTCATCATTTTAAGGTATTTTATGCTTATCATTACGCTGGGATGGACCAATAAGATGTATTTGTTCCACTGTAAACTGCAGATCTGCTGCCATGGCCTCTTCCACCAGCCTTCCCCACATCACTGTGCCCACACTCGCTGCAATACAACTCTCCACAGACAGTGAAGGGTCCAGCGATGATGACCTGTAAGCAGAGGACACGTTTGAATTCTTCAAACAAAGAGCTTACAATACATAAATGAGAAGGAAAGACAGTTTAATTAACTTTATGTGTGACATGCTGTGTTTCTTCCAGGAGTTCAGCTGAATCTTATCTGCTCAATATGAATAACAGCAATAACAATGAAGAGTAAGTATGATTATAGTGTCACGAACAGATAAAGTGGAGCCCTTGTAAAATACAGTTTCTCTTTGATGTATCTAAAAATTAATTTCAGGCCTATTACATGTGTTAATTAATCCTTTTCCAGGGAGAATTGAAAAAAGGAAAGGAAGAAAAAAAGAGTAATTTGGTTATGTTGCAAAGTCTTTTGTTTTAACTGAATATTTGACATTTTTCTCCAATGTAATAATGTGTGTTGCAGTATGGAGAAGAAGGAGAGGGAAGAAAAGGAGGCAAAGGAGAGGGAAGAAAAGGAGGCAAAGGAGAGGGAAGAAAAGGAGGCAAAGGAAAAGGAAGAGAGGGAAAAGGAGAAGGAAAGACAAAAGGAAAAGGACAAAGATAAGTAAGTGCAAAATTCAGAGCAACTTCCTTAAAGCACATTTTTCACATAGTTAATTAACACTTCCTTTCTTTCTTTTTATAGGCCGAAAGAAATATTTATCCTTAATCCTGCTGGAAATCTGTATTACAACTGGCTGCTCGTAATCACACTACCAGTCATGTACAACTGGACCATGATCATAGCCAGGTGACTTCATTTTGTTTAACCTTCATTTTATTTAACCTTCATTAGGCGCGTTCACACCAAGTACTTTTCCCACAAAGGTTCCTGAGAACTACGATTTAGTTGCGTTCACACCAAAAAGCCCCAGGAACTAAATTAGTTCATGAGAACCTTTTTTACCCCCTTTTCAGTTCCTGCTAGAGAGCAGGGACTTTCGTGGGAGAAAAAGGTTCCTATGTCTGATTGGCTGGGCGGAATGCAAACCACGCCCCGTAAAAGTAAAACTCCAAAAATGTTTTGTGAAGCCGCCATTTTATTATCCTCGCATTAGCATCATTAGCATTAGCATTAACCCAGCACACAAACGCAGAGAGACTAACTTATGGCAACACAAAATAAAACATGGGAGCGGTGGAGATGAGGAGGTGTCGGCGTTCTGGCGATTTACTCGGAAGGCTTCAGTAGAAGCTGCTGGGAGTCCCAGCTCCGGGTACTTCCGGCCGGGGACTTCGGGTGGCAGTATCAAGCCCCCAGGAAGTGCGCCGGAGTCTGATGAGAATATTCGTGCTGGTAAAACGGCGGTACTACACTTCCTTTAGGTTGCCAGGCCCGGAAACACTTTTTCCCATTGACTTACATTGGGAAAGAGTGGTCTGTAACTCGTTGGATAATTTTTTAAAAACTAAATAAACTACCCAGTATGAACACTTGTATAGCCCTTATTAAAAACATTCGTTCCTCAAGTTGTAAAAATGTGCTAATAACGTTATTCTGAGAGTTATTTCTCTCGGCATTATGAACGCGCATCTAACCCACGGGACCGCGCCGCCCGGCACGTTCATGTTACGTGTTCAGTACTACATGAGTTTCTCTTTACCCATGGATGCACAATAACAACGGACCATATCGCCTTACGGCCCGTCCACACTACAGCTTCGACAGCTTCAAAAACGGTTTCCAACGCCTCTGCCCATTCACTTTGAATGGGGTGACGTCACGTTGCCTCGCTTTTCGCCGAACTGAATTGTGGGTAGCATAGCGGTCCGTCTCCGGCGGCTCCGGCGTCAGAAGTTGAATGTTCAACTTCTGACGCTGGAGACGCCGGAGTAGCCAGCGCCAGCCAATCAAATCCCGTTTCTGAAAATCTGACAGCTCAAGCCCTAGCCAATCAAACCGCGTCTAAGCTGGGAGAGATATCCCGCCGTTAATTTCTATATTTCAAAAAGAGATGGAGGAGAAACTAATTATCGCCGTAGCAAATCACCCGGTTTTGTATGACCAGACCCTCTTCACCTACCGGGATACAAACCGGAAGAACCAGTCATGGAGGGAGGTGGCAGAGACAGTGGGTGAAACTGGTAGGTTTTCGCCTGTTTTGGGGAGTTTATATATATATATATATATTGCTCGCATAAAATCCCCGGGGTTTTTTGCTTTGTATGTCGGGGGCGGGAGATTCATGTGATTGGTTGTTGGTCGCGTTGCTCGAATAAAATCCCCAAGCTTCAGACACGCCCAGCTCCAAGCTTTTTTTTAAGCTGTAGTGTGGACGGGCCGTTACTGCCATCCCACGGAGCTGTAATAATGGATATATTGCACATGTTTGCTGTAATTCATCATTTGTAAAATATTATACTACATGGGCTGTATGATGTAAATCTTGTACCGTAAATGTTGTATTAAATAAAGCTAATATTACCGACGTAGATTAACGTTCCTGTAGCTTCTTATTGCACTTGCTATTGTTTTAGTTACTTGTGGGCTACTTAACATGAATAATCACAGTTAGGCTACTATCCTTTTACTCCATCACATTTCAAAAATAAATAGGCTATTGTTATTTTAACTCCACCACAGTAATCCATCATCAGCTTTACTTTTTAGATAAAGTTTTAACTCACAATTGATCATAACAGGCTTCAACATATACATTTTTATATATTACCAAGTGGTTTCATGTACAACCCACACAAGTATCATGCTAAATGAAGCTCTGTTGCTTGGATATCACTAGATCCTGATGTCAGCGTAATATAAAAGTACATAACGATTGATGTGTAACTTAGCATAATTTAATAGCTAGCCGCTAGCTGCTAACTGCCGCCTCGTTAATATAAATCCAGTAGGCCTACCATGCTGTCATGAACGTGCGGTGCTGTTACGTGTACGCAAATTCACGTGCTTAATGTGAACGAGCCTTTTGGGCGGCGTGGTTAAAGTTGCGCATGCTCTATGAGTGCACATACGGGTACTTCTCAGGCATGCCGGGTAATCTGTGACGTTTCGCTCTCTCAAAAGTTGGGCCATTTTGTCATCATGCGCCATTGAGCAACTCTCATAGGAATAAATGAGGCCCCGCCTCCCACGCTGTATCCAGTTCTTATTATACATCCATGGGCAGTATACGCCGTGAAGTTGTTTGCGGCTGTCACTACCCGATCTGCAGCTCTGCCCGATCTGCAGTGCGCATGTGCGAGATAGTCCGCCATATTGGACAACTCCGGACGGCAACCCAAGTAGGACAACATTGACACAGTGGCTTTTGGCAAAGCTCAAAAGGAAAACGAGAGAGAGATGAGTTATTGTTATTACAACGTGATTTCACTATTATTTAACAAC